AAAGTCTGACTTGACTTGCCTTATTTATACCATATGTGGAATAAATAAAAATCTCACTTATTCTTGAATTTTACTAAATAGACAAAGTACAGATAAAGAATTTTAGGATTATCAGTCTTAAGAATGATTAATTAATTTTTCAAATGAACGAGAAACAAATTTTTAAGGGTAAAACTATACTTTCCTAAGCTTTTATTTATTTATTTTTCTGATTTCAAAACGTAGAGGCAAATGCCGGTAAATCAATCATGTTTGCCGTGTCCCCTAGTTAACATCCTTAGATCAGTCCCTCTCTAACATTAACATACTCAAGTTTTAGCGTTTGAATAAGTATTAATCAATACCTATACCATATCAATTAAATTTAAACTGAGACTTTTTTTTCTTACATTACTTATAAACATTCACTTGCATATAGATAGATTAGGTTAACTCTGACATTACTGAAAAAGTTTTAAACAAAAAAAAACAACAACGTACTACTTTTGTGCTATACAATTGACTAGTTAATAAAAAAGAATACACTACAATTTTTAGTTCCAACGCAACGTAATACTTTTATACTGTACACTGCGAATCTGGATGTCATTCATTGTGGCCAAGCCGGTGAATTTTGTTGTTTTATGTTTAGACAAAGGGTTTTATGTTTATCATGTAACATAATATAACTTCATTTTCCTACACACACATTAAAGAGGTGAGACCCACATATTTTTCTTTCTTTTTCATCATTTCACTTTCTCTCTCCTTTTTATTGTGTGTGTTGGAAACAACACTTAAATTATGTTACATAACATTAATAAAACCGCAAATCCACAAAAGAAAGAGCAATAATATAGATAGTAGGAGAAGATATGTAATTATGGGCAGGGATAATGAAGTAGCCTATGTTGGCAGTTGCAATCGTCTCGGATGTGAATGAACAATTTGATGAGGTTCAGGTTTCAGGTTCAGATATTCAGATTCAGAGTTGAGGTGGTGTGGTGTACTCAACTACTCATTGCAGTGATTTAGCATAGCATAGCATAGAGCCCAACAAAGGGTAAAAAAAAAAAAACCAAAGAGAAACCAAAAGTTACAGTGTGAGATTAGCCCATTCATTCGCAGCCTTGAAGTTTGGAGACAAAACGACAGAGAGAGAGAGAGAAAGAGAGATACTATAATTAAAAGTGACAGAGAGAGAGAGTGTAAGTACGGATATGATAGGTGTACTACTTTTGAAAGAGAGAAAGAGTGGACCCTGCCAGAACAATCAACTTTTTACTATTCATATATAGAAACTAGAAAGTACGGTGTACAGGCTTTTGATGCTGCGCTCCTGATACATATGAAGATGATACCCCTCACCTTCCTACTAGTACTACTCTCTTTTTTCTTCTTCCCATATTTATTAAGGTTATTGATACGTTTGGTCTTTGCAGCTGTACTAGACAGTCCTAATCCTAAGGCACTGCGAAAAGCCAAAGATTGCGGAATTACTTTAATCCAAGGAAAGGGACGGGACGTAACCCAATCACCCCCCATTCTACACGTGCCCTCATATTATCATGCAACCAGACAAAAACCAAACACTATCTCCTCCCTGCCCTTGACATTTTTTACTAACATTTTTTTTTTCATTATCGTTCCATAAAAAGGTTAAAAAAATAAATACAAAAAATTTTCTTAAATACAGCGAAAATATTTAAGTGAATATTCCTTTTTTTTTTTTCTAAAAATAATTTCTTTTATCTAATTTGAGTTCAGTTTTGAATTTGTATTTTTATTTAAGTTTCAAAAATTTTCTTTTTTTTTTGGGTAGGATGTACTTAAATCTACATGCACCCAAGTAGGAGAGTAAATAAGTTAGTCCGGCTTACAGGAGCCTACTCCCTAACTTATATTAGGTCAGATTTGACCTATTATAAGTATTAAAATAAAATAAGCCTAGGCTTTTAAAAAAATCTATTTAAAAAATAGGCCATAGGCTGTTTTGTACAACTCAGCCTATACGTTTACAAGCTGACCTATATCATATTATTTATTTAAAATATAATAAATAAAATAATTATTTAATAATTTTGAATAATAAAATAATATTATTTTAGTTATTCTTTTAATTGTTAAATGTTTGATAGGTTTAAACAGGCCTAGACCAAGACTTTATGTTTTAAATATAGGTCAGACCAGATTTGTAATTTGTAGTTTACAGAAGCTAATAAGTCAAGCCATACCCAATATTTTTTACACAGACTTAACATATTTAAGTCAAAATCTAATCTAACCTATTTACACCTCTACATCCAAGATTTGTTCATAAAGTTAATACAACTTTCTTTTACGTTAAGATTCATCAAGTTTAATAGTTTTATTACAAAGATTAATGTTTATTAGGAAATAATTTTATGTCTAATATATATATATAAATATATAAAGTTCGTGGGGATATCAGAGGGAGCCAACTCGTCTCAAAGAGATAATTAGGGTTGGGTAACTCCAAAAAAAAAGAGGAGAGAGGAAAGTGAAATAAATCTCATATATTTTTATGTGTATATAAAAAATAAAAGTATCTCTTTCCAATATCATTTTTGAAAGGAATTTAAAATTTTAATTCTGAATCTGTCTCGAATAAGATTATCTTCAGTAAAAAATACTTATAATTTATCCAAAAACAATCCCATTATTTTAACACAAACTTTTACTAAATTTAAGTGTTATAAATAATATACATAATATAAAAAAATTCAACAACATTTAAAAAAGTTATTCATAATTTACTCTTTCCATAATTTCACAGCCTGTTCAGTCTAATTTAGGTACTCAAATGCATAAAACCCGGCTTTTTTACCCTTATAATCTTTAATTAATAATTAATTATCAATTTGACCTTCATTTGAAACTAATTCGAAAATTTAACCCCTTCAGAAAACATAACACCAATCTACCCCTGTTTGACCGTTGACCATGAAGCCTACCCGAGTACACTCCTCCCTACCCTGGTATTTTTTGAAATTTTTGCCTACCCGGGTAGAGAGGGGTGTACCCGGGTAGAGTTCTTGAATCTGAAAAAATGGTTGAATTAGTTACCCGGGTAGGAAGGGTTGTACTCGGATAAACATCAAGAGTAGGGTTTTTATATAACCGAGATGCTAAAAAGTTTCTTTTTCCAATTCATATTCTCCTCGAATTTATATTTCTATCAGGTTAATGAAAACACAAAAAATTGAAGCACCTTATGATTACAGAAAACAAAATGAAATTAGTAAAAAATTAATACAACATTACCATGTAATTGTATCCCCTAGTTTCTCTAATCTTCCTCAACTCTTCATCGTTCTCATAATCATTTGGATTCAGCTTCCAGTATAAGAGTCTCAATTCTGCAAAACTCACCATTTTTCTGCAACGTCACAACTAAGTAAAACTATAGATAGATAGAGAGAGAGAGTAATGACCTGCTAATTGGTTGATGGAAACAAATTCATTAGGGCTGCCATGGTGAGGAAGCCTTGGATCTTCGTTGCTATCGTCCATGAACCATGCATGTCACAGTTTTTTTCATTTATATAAAAACGCTACTCTGGATGTTTACCCGGGTACAACCCTTCCTATCCGGGTACACCCCTCCCTACCCTGGTATTTTTTGAAATTTTTTATCTACCCGGGTAGAGTGGGATGTACTCGGGTAGGCTTCATGGTCAACGGTCAAACAGGGGCAGATTGGTGTTATGTTTTCTGAAGGGGTTAAATTTTCGAATTAGTTTCAAATGAAGGTCAAATTGGTAATTAATTATTAATTAAAGGTTATAAGGGTCAAAAAGCCCGTAAAACCCTGTTTGAACTAAAATTTAGCTCATTAGAAAAAAATTTACGCAACCCACTTTTCCATTTCACCTGATATTCTATTTAAAGCACTTCCCTATCAAATTATGCTTTTTGAAGGCAGTTGGACAAAACTGTTTAAAAAACTCGCTGCTTATAAAATGCATGATATAAAATACATCGGAAATCGTGTTTATTTGGTTTGCGTTAATAAAAATAAGACTTATCTAGTTTCATGTTATTACACACAAATAAAAATTATATCATAAATACATAATGATGAAATCACCACTTAAAAAAAATAAATTATACGATTATCAGGAGAGAAAAAAAATTGACCTCGCGTAACATAAAAATAATTTTCCCCACGTGAAAATATAACATGCTGTTATCGATATGGGGTCAAAGTAAAGCTTCCATTATCTTCTCGGACAGTGTTTCCGAACTCTCTGACAATGATGCTTATACACATTATTATAAACTTCTGTTTGCTAGAGGTAAAATTAAAAAACGTGAAAGAAGGAATGACTACAACGAACAACTTAGGAATACAACATAAAGTGATTTGGACGTCCTACCATGCGCACAAAACAAATGTATGAACTTTTCCCTGGGGCAGGGAAGGTATCATTAGGAAAGACCGTAAGACAGCCTTGGTGTTGCCTTAAATATAACAATAACCATGTGATGCGATTCAAGCCAAAATTGTGAATAGTGATATGTCGGCAACAATATACAGTGGAGCCTAACAGCAGCGATAAAAATAAAAAATAATGGCCAACAAATGTGTGAATTGAACTTAGCATGCGCACCAAATTCTCTCTCTTCAAAAGATCACCATCACCTTTTCAAATATTATTAAAGATAGAAATGGACCGAGGTTGAATGTTGCATACCAAAGTAAATATTATCGAAGATAGAAATGCAACGAGGTTCAATGTTGCATAGCAAAGTAAATGCTTGCTCATTATAATAGTCTCAAATCAGCAAAAAGCAGAGTTCAACCAAAGCCTTCCCGGCATGGCAATTCTTTACACTGAAGAAAATTTGTATATTAAAAGGACAAATGGTAACAAGCTCTTGAACCAAGCAATTCAATTACAACCTTTAACACTACTAGTTTGTCAATCATATCCTTCCCAAACCAAACTAAGTCTACAAGATTTGGAATTGTAGCTTTGCTCTACCTGGTCGTGCTTTCAGCTCCTGCAGTAGAAATGGGGTACGGTGCTGGGGTTAGTGATTGATGGAGGAAAATGAGGGGGGAGGAACGTCACGTTTGGAAAATGAATTTGACTATCCGCAGCTGATGGTATTATTGATGAAGGGAATCCTGATGATGCTGCAGCAGAGAACGGTGGAGTCAGAGTTGCCCCGCCATAAGGACCTTGAACTTGCCATGCCCAATTTGGCAAGGGAGCAACTTCCATCCTCTTCTCTATTGCTCTTTCCTGTAAATAAAAACTAGAGCGACTAAATATAACTAACAAAGAAGAAACTAAAGAAATATTATTATGGTAGCCAGAATATATGAAAATCACCTTACAGATGGGAAAGAAATTGGCATCATTCCAGCCTGAAGGATACTCAGATGCTATGGAGAAGCCATCGGATGACCGAACCTTCAGTGATCTTGTCCCAGAGTGCTCAAACTATAAAGAAAAATGAGAATTATACAATGAAAGCTATGGATACAAACTGTCAATTCAAAAACAGATGAAGAAGCAGAGGGGCTTGTATCAACGGGAGAGCAACAAAATTTCTCCACCTTACCATAACTCTCGTATCGACAGGAATATCATCCCAGCTACGCTGAACTTGTAAACCACTCCCATTGTCGTGTATGTTCTTGATTTGACCATCAGAGTAAGAAGGGGGAGCTATGCCCAAGCTCAGATCGAGACTTTGCTTGTTATCTGAATAAAGTGTCAGAATCGATGTGTTGTAATGCATTTGACTTCATAGTTCAATCATCGAGCGCATTATAAAGCACTTAAAAATATTAGAAGACAAGCCTCAACGTTAAACAAGTAGTACCTTCATTATCAGACTGAGAAATTAACTCCCCTTCATATAAGCTGGCCTCAAAGTTTGTAACAGCTTCCCTTCCATTGCATTTTATAGCAGCCTTATCATACGCTCTGGAATCATTACACAGCAAGTAATAGCACACTTAAGTATAAAATAAAATATATATGAGATGGAATCCAAAGAGTTTAGGGATTTAATTTAATATAGAATGTTATGTGATTGGTAAGAAGACCTCGCAGCCTCTAGTTCGCTATCGAATAGCCCAAGATATATATATCTGCAAGCAAGCAATAAAAAGGCCCAATGTAAAAACTGAATTCTGATTTATCACAAACGAAACCAAGCTGATGATCCCTTAGCAGAGTGATAAAATTTTGATATATCACTTGATGCAAATCGAAACCGAAAATTGATACAAATGCAAGCTGATCAAAGCAATGCCAACGAATGATTTTCTCACTTTTTCCCGAGAAACTGCCCCATACGAGCTTCCCATCGCCCACATTTATGAAGAGTAACTCCCCTGTATTTGGAGCTTCCCCTTGAAAAACCAGTGCTCTGTCGACGCAGAATATGAACAAACTCTTCCTTTGTGAAGTTACTCATCTGCAGAATAATAATAGAAATTGAGGCTACAATTAGAACTTCCATTAAAGCTTTAAATAAAGAGTAATAAAACCACAAACTACGAACGATAGGATTATCTGCTCACTAACCTGCTTCATATCTTCATCATAATCGCTGACGTTGAAATTGATATCAGCATCAACGCCACGGAACTTGATTGCAGCTCGATCATATGCCCTGAAATCGAAAAGATAAAAAATAAATATCCCATGAAACATTTCATATGCTGTAGAAAACCAACAATTACCTAAATACGAAAATTACCTAGCTGCAGCATGCGCTGTGTCAAATCCACCTGCAAAAACAAGAAAAACAAAAACACAAAGAAAAAGAAAAAGAAAAAGGAATTCGTCAGAAAAAAAATACACAACCTAACTATGAGAGCAAGAAAGCTAAAGCACAAAAGATGAAACGAATTTTTCTACAAATCATCACTGTTGCTCACCCAAGTACACTTGTTTCCCACAATCCCTGCACACAAAACAATACAGTTGATTCAGAAACAGTTACACTAGCATATCAAGCTCAAAACGAGAGAACTAAACTACACATAAACATAATTGCTAACCAAATATGCGATTCCCATCTTCCCGTTCTCCGATAGAAAGTAACTCCGCGATACTGCGAGCTCCGCGACCTCGGTCCACGACGGCTCTTCTTCACCTGCGGTTGCTGCAGCGGAACAATCCTCTGCTCCGGCACACCACCGTGATGATCCACCTCCTTCGACGGCAAATCCAACCATCCCTTACTTCCAGACGACGAGATTCCCAACTCGGCGGCCGGAAAAAGCTGGATGGTCCGAACACAAGCGTCTCCGATTCCAACTCCGGGAAGCTGAAGCTGTTTGGAGGTGGCGGCGTCATCGACGGCGTTATTGTTGAGTATGGCGAAGTTGTAAGCAAAGGCATCGCCGAAAGAGCAAGAATCTTCGGTGTCGGCGGCATTGACAACGGAGGAGTTGAAGCTGCCGGAGCTTTCCATTTGGCTGCCGGAGAGAGGAAGAATGTTGTTGAGGGATGCAGAATCAGCGTTGAGATTGAGATCCAACATTTGGAACGGTGAGTTTGTTACGATGTTGAGAAGTTATTGAAAATTTTGGAGGGAAAAGTAAAGTTAGTTAGAACGGTATGGATCCAAAGGAGGCAAGTGTATGCAACACCATCACATTCCCATTCACATTCACATTCACATAAATGTTGATTCAATGCAAATGACCACTACAAAAAAGAGCCACAGAAAGAGAGAGAGAGAAAGAAAGAAATTTCAATTTCATGCAGCGAGAGAGAAAGAAGAGAGTTGGTTTTGTTTTTGTGCTTTGTGTGTGTGTGAGGGAGAGAGAGAGCACAAAAACAGAATGAGGGGGCCTCCTTCGCTTCCTTTTGTTTTTGCCATTACCATATATGTATTTTATTTTCACATCAAAAACAATAAAATATTTGTAATAGAGAAAGATAAAAAGGTTAGCGTAGTTTAACAAGATTGTGATAAATTACGTGCACAGATTAGTAAATTATTAATGTGTTACGATTTTTATTTTATTTTATGTAATTCAAGAGATATTATCATTCAACCTTCTCCCATCACCTTTAATTGCTAACTGAATTACCTTTTTGGATTAATGTGTTACGATTTTAATTAGTAATTGTTTATTAATTTAACATAACTAAATCAAGTATGGACTATGAGTGAGATGAAAAGAGTGCTGACAGTGACACCTTATCACCGCACTGGCCTGTTTTTGCTCCTTGAGAGTTGAGATCAATGTTATTAAAATCGGTTCGGTCATTGATCCGATTGAGGTACTGGATTACTGGGTCACTGGTTCAACGAGTGGGTCACTGGTTCAAACGCATGACCCGATAATTATGTGCACTTTTATAATTTATATTAAAAAATTATAAACATATTAAAATATCTAAAAAAATGATAAAAATTTCAAATATTTTAATATAAAAATAATAAATGACATATTGTTATCCAATAAAAGATCAAACAAAAATATAATGATCGTGATACGGGACTTTAGGTTAAGAAAATGACATCTCTAACTATAAATCAAATCAAAATTTTCTGCATAATGCATAATTGAGATAATATTAGTGTTGTAGGTAAAAACTTATGTAAGTCAATAAGCAAAAAGATATTCAAATATGTCATTTATGATTTTTTTTGAAAAAAAAATTAGATTTTTTTTTGAACCGGATCGGGTCACTGGTTAACCGATCGAGTCACCGGTTTTCATGAAAATCGGTCGGGTCGAACCGGGTCACACCGATTCTGATGCATAACCAGTTCGTTAATTCAACCAACCAATTATATGACCGATTTACCGATTCCCAGATCGACCCAGCCCATCGGTCCGGGTTTCATGACACTGGTTGAGACCCTTTTTGTCCACGGTTTCTTTCTTTTCTGTTCTAGTAATAGTAGTACTTTGTTCGAAAAATAGTATTTGGAGACAGTAATTCACTCATTTAATTATGCAGTAATATATTGGATGATAATTATAAAATATACTGATTTTAAATTATATGTTTAAAAATGTAGAATGTTTCTATCATTAATACTCCAATAATAGATAAAGTTTAAAGTGTGTAAATTACAAAGTATTTGATTTACCATAAATTTTTGGTACTATTGATGTATCTAAATAAATACAATATTTTGCTATTTTTGGAAAAAAATACAATGTGGCGGAAAAAAATATTTAAAAAGTGTTGAAATTTTTTTCAAAAATAAAAAAATATTACATCCACTTAGATACAACAATAACACTAAAGAGTAATTCACACACTTTGTAAATTACCGCCCGCATTCAAACCATTAATGCTCGTTCAGAGGTAACACTAATTAATAAAATTTAGAAAGTGTTCAGATGTTTTGGGGTGTATTTGGATTTGATATGCAAAGTTATGCTCGACTTATTGTCTCTTCGTAACTCACTTTGTAATCGCGCGCGAATACTGTATGTAAAACGAAAATTTATAATGTCAGAACATATTGTTTGCCATTCTCAATAAATATTGAACCCATTAATATAGTGTAACTAATACAATAATAAGCTACTTAAGCTTTCGGTACGGGAATATTTACGTCTTTTACTTAGATACAATAGTAGCTAGTTGAATTATCATATTTATCGATACTGAACGAATGAAGAAAAAACTGCAAATGGAGAAAATAATGGCACATCGTAATTGCTGAATTTGTTAAGTTATTTATGGTGCACTAAGTTAAGTTATTATATCGGGTATTTATTGTGCATAATATAATATAAGTAACTTGATAACATGTATCTTGTATAAATATTGGAAATATGAGGTTAAGTTAAACAATTTCAGCTGTTCAAAGATAAATCAATTGTTGTTATCAAAAAAAAAAAAAAAAAAAAGATAAATCAATTGTTATTATTTCTTCATTTTTTTTTAATACGCTTCTAGTTGATTTATTTATAAACTATTGAGATTTTCTCATATGAACTTTTATCGCGTGATAAAATTCATTTTCATAATTGCCTATTATCACTGTACTACCTTTTGTATCATCCCATTTTGCATATGCAAGGGCAATCTTATATAGTACTAGGCCTCCAAAGTAACTAGTAATAGTTTTATTGAAGGATCGAAGAGATAATAACATGAGTAAGAATGTTGCAAATCGTTGATTAGTAATAGCACTTCCTGTACTTTTCTGACTTCAATTTATCTAATCTCATAATCTTTCTCATTCAGCAAGTGTAAAGATAACAATAAAAAATAACGTAATGATGACAGTATTTGAACTTACAAATCTATTACTCTTCAATTATTCCCTTCTTCCTTTAACAATTTCATAGTTCAGTTTATCTTTTCAAAAAAATTCACTTTGGACCCCTAACACTAACAGGACATAATAAGACATGATAATATTTTTTTGTTGGTAGTCAGACATATGATAATATTAACTAGTACTATACTATATATGTTTCATTTATACATAGTGTCTCTTAGAATATAGGGAAATGTTATATTTATAAATTTATTGTTTATAAATTCTTACAAATTATATTATGTTTGATCGGTAATACACTCTCAGTTAGAGTATTACCGATCAGACATAATATCATTTATAAGCTTATAAAAAAAATTATAAACAAATACTTACCCTAAAAGATAATATTGAGGTTTGTTGAATAACAAGAATAACAGCACATGAATGAAGCAAACCAGCGACTGTGTGCGTTCTTCAATTTTCGACTACGAAAGCACATCCTAAACGTTGTTTACTGGACTTGCATCTTCAATTACTGCTTTCACTCTCTCAATTTACCAATCTGTCTCCCTCACTGGTAAGTTTCAATATTGAGCTTTCGTAACTTGAGAATCTCACTTTTTTATATGAATAACAAATTTTAATATCTCTCGTATTTTAAGAAATAAAATTATTTCTTACATACACATAAAATATATAGAATTCATTTTTTTTCCTCTCTTTTCTTTATATGACCTATAATTATCTCCTATAAACACATAAAATATATGAGATTTATAAATTTTTTTCTCTTCTCTTTACATGACCTTACTTAAATTCACATACTTGTATATATATATATATATATATATATAAGATAATAATTTTATCTACGGCAAGTATCAAATCCATAAAAAATTGTGTGAAAAGTACCGAAACACTGATCATATTTCGTAGAGTTAGCAAAACGGGTCGGCCCACCCCGCCCCGCCCCAACCCGTCGCCAACCGTCAAAAGTGAGTTGGCCCGCCCCTCTTCTTGAATTTGGGTTGAAAACTCCAACCCGCCCCGTTTTATGGTAGGTTGGCGGGTCAACCCGCTTAAAAAATAAAAAAAATTAAAAATTTAAAAAAAAAATATTTTATTAAAATTATTATATTACTTATTTTCATATCACATTCCCTTAGTTTTTTTTCAATCTTAAGTCTAATATGCTAATATTTAATCAGATATTCTTTACAAACTTGTTTTTATCTCCATACATATATTACTTTTGTCATAAATAAAATTTGTCCACTATATTTTTTTTAGAGAGTACAAAGATATCAAAAAATTGGATATTACAAAAGCTTAAAAACAAATAAAAACACTACTTAATAATAAAAAAATAATAAAAATTTGAAACGACGGGCCAACCCGTCTCGACCCGCCACCAATCCGTTTTGACCCACAACCCAACGGAGCGGGTTGAGGCGGATTGGTGAGTTTAAATATGTAACTCAACCCGTTCTATTTTAACGGGTAGGCGGGTTGACCCGTTGAATTAATCATATTGCCAGCTCTAATATTTCGAAGAGTGGACCTGCGAATATATGAAAATGCTGCAATTGTATCCTTTTTGACTCAATTTTTTTTTATATAACAACAGAGTATCAAATGTGGGTTTTTCAAAACCGCAAAATGGGTGAAATAGATTGGACAGCGAGAAAGGGAAAAAAAAAAAAAAAAATCAGACTAAGATAAAGTTGTTGAAATGTTGCAATTGGACAGTGCCCACATGTTAAAATCCCACTAGTCATTGATTTTATAGAGTTATTTTAACTCATAAGAGTCAAAGGTACTGTACATTTTGGGATGGGATCTAAGACGCAACACAAAACATGTTATGCGTAGTAACTATATCTATAAACAACTTCGGATTATTATTTTTTTTTAATTACGAAAAATAATTTTATTTGAGCCGGAAATATTTATATCATGATAAGGTTAGTTTTTTTAATTTTATTTTTTTTATATTTATAATAACTTGAATTCAATATCTTACTTAAAGAAATCAAATATATACCATTTCAACCAACCCATTTAATTTGGATTACTTTTTGAAACGCCAATAAAATGTACCCAAGCGGGGGATCAAGTGGGGTTGCCCACCCACAGTAAAGGTGGGTCTCTGGGGTTCATCTTTCATCTCGTACTCAATTTTTCAACTTCCCGACCAATTATACCCAAAATAATTAGGATTTTATAATTTTCATGTTGAATGAGAATTGAAATCTTATGTTATAGAGATAAAAAGTATGTGAAAACTATATGTTAAAAAA